TGGCTGTGGGGAGGGAAGACACAGATAAAAGAGGCTCCGGTGGGGAGGAAGGGGGCAGCTTGAAAAGATGGCGCCAGTGCCTACCAACACTAAATACATGCCTGCCTGTGACGCATCATCCCACTCCAAAGGACACTCTCAGAGATGCAGACGCATCCCCACCAAGAGGCACGCAGGCTTCATAATGGCTCGATCCATCACATTCCCAAACAAAAATCAACATGAATGCCCATCCACAGGAAATGGATAAATCAACAGTGGAATACTATACAGAGAATAAAAAGAGCAAACTATAACTACACACACAAAAACACAAAATCTCACAGACATAAGTTAAGAAAAAGAAACAGGACACCAAAGATTTCATATTGTGTGATTCTATTTATATTATATAAAGTTCAACAAAAGGCAAACTAATTAAAAGCAACAGAAATCAGAATAGTAGCTGGGCATGGTGGTGCACACTTGTAGTCCCAGCGACTCAGGAGGATGAGGTGGGAGCATTGCTGAGCCCAGAAGTGCAAGACTGCGAGAAGCCATGATTGCACCACTGCACTCCCGCCTGGTTGACAGGCTAAGACCCTGTCTCTAAAGAAAGATGAAAAGAAATCAGAATGGTGGGGTGCTCACAACTAAGAAGCTCAGGGAAACTTTCAGGAGTGCTAGTAATGTTCTCCATCTTGATCTAGATAATGGGTAAAGGGTGTTTGCACCTCATAAAAAACGTGTTGAGTTGTACACATAAAAATTTTGCACTTTACTATATGTATGTTATATTGCAGTATAAAAAATACATGTATGAAAGAAGTAAAAAAATATATAGTGCTGGGTGAAGAGGATCAGAAACAGAATGACATCAATGACCCAATACAGTTTAATAATTAAAAAGCACATGCACATTAAGCAACAACATGCATTTTGCAAGAACACAAACAAAAGAGACACATGAAGCACACGAAAATGGTTTCCTATGGGTCAAGGAATGGAGTGAGAAATGATGATAAAAGGGAACATATCAGTAATGAAGTAAGAGCAGGGCCTTCCTAGGAACAGTGGGGATTATGTGCCATTCAAGAAAGAAAAGGAAGAGGAGGAGGAACAGGAGTTGGACTTTGGGAAATCTGGGCGACTCACTGGGGTATCTAGCACTGTCCAGGGGACGCTGCTTGGCCTCTGATTGCTGGAGTCCCAAACTCTGTGCAGCGTGCTTTACACACACATTCCCCCTTCTGCTGTCCTGGGAGGGCAGACATTGCTCACAGAGAAGACAGCTCTTCTTCTGAAAGGCTGAAGCTCTTACGGGGCCTGGATGTGGGAGGCTGGCAGCTGGGGCCCCGCTGGAGTTCTGGGGAGAAGGGGAATTTGAGCTGGGGCTTACAGGTGACCCAGGATGTACTGTGGGCTGAGAAATGGACACAGAGGCAGGGGAATGTGGTGCGTGGTAGAGTCAGGGAAATAACCCCATTAAGGAAAAAGGCTCGTGGGCAGCTCATTCACAGGCCAGCGTGGGCAAGAGTCAGACTGCGGCACACATCCTCCATGAGACCTGCCATGTCCAATAAAACCATTCGTGCTTTTATTTAACCAATACTTTTAATTAATTCACTTTTTTCTTAAATGTTTTAAAAGATATACATCATGTAAAGATATACAAATGGCCAATAAGCACATGAAAAGATGTTCAACACCAGTAATCATTAGGGAAATGCAAATCAAAACCATAAAGAGATACCACCTAATACTGATTTGGATGGCTACTATTTTGAAAAACAAATAGAGAAGTGTTGGCAAGGATGTGAAGAAACTGGAACCCTTGGGCAGTTAGTGGGAATGTAAAATGGGACAGCCACTGTATATAAAAAAAAAAAAGTAGGGCAGTTCCTGGAAAAAATTAAGCATAGAATTACCATTAGATCTGGTAATTCCACTTCTGAGTATATACACGAAAGAACTGAAAGCATTAAGGGATATTTATACGCCCCATGTTCATAGCATCATTATTCACAATAGCCAAATGGTAGAGGCAACCCAAGGGTCCTGTGATGAATGGATAAACAAAATGTATTATATCCATACAGTGGAATGGATGAATGGCTAAAAAAAACTTGGTATATACATAAAATGTGATATGATTCAGCCTTAGCAAAGGAGGAATCTGACATGTACTTCAACAGAGATGAACCTCAAGGACATCATGCAAAGCAAGATAACCTACTCACAAAAGGACAAATACTATATGATTCCACTGATGTGGGTAACTAGAATCATCAAAATCATAGAGACAGAAAAGAAGAATGGTGGTTGGGGGAGGAGGAAGGTTTAATGGGTGCAGAGTTTCAGTTTTACAAGATGGAAAGAGTTCTGGAGACGGATGATGAAGGTTACACAACGGTGTGAATGTACTTAAGGCCACTGATCCATATGCTTAAAAATGGTTAAGATGGACAATTTTATGTTATGCATATTTTACCACAATATTTTAAAAGGTAGCGTTGTCTCACTATTATAAATGAAAAACCTCTTGTCTCCCTAAGGTCTCCTTAAAACCTTAAGATCTCCTTGGCCAGGTGCGGTGGCTCACGCCTGTAATCCCAACACCCTGGGAGGCCGAGGCAGGTGGATCACGAGGTCGGGAGATTGAGACCATCCTGGCTAACACGGTGAAACCCCGTTTCTACTAAAAATACAAAAAAAAAAAAATAAATAAAAATCTGGGCGTGGTGGTGGGCGCCTGTAGTCCCAGCTACTCTGGAGGCTGAGGCAGGAGAATGGCATGAACCTGGGAGGCAGAGCTTGCAGTGAGCTGAGACCACGCCACTGCACTCCAGCCTGGGAAAACAAAAAACAAACAAACAAACAAACAAACAAAAACCGTTAAGGTCTCCTTAAAAGACAATGCCACTTCCAAGTACAGGCTGGTGTGAATGTCGCCGTACATGCCGGTGCCTGATGAGGCTGTGCACTGAGACCTCATCTCGCTTTATTTAAAGAGGAGATCGGCAAGTGCCAGGGAGGCGTTAAAGGTGCTCCGGAACCAACTTTCTCCTTGACAAATTCAGAAGGGTTGAGAAAGCCACTTCCTCTCCACCTGATTAACAAAGTGGTGCTTGTGAGCTTCTATAATTGTTTCTTGTGCCAGGGGTTGTGGGCATCTTACAGTTTGAAGACTCCTCCCTTATAAGGACAAAGGAGTAGAGGCCATGAGCCTCTCGGGCAGGGGTAGGCCAGGGCATACCCAGCGAGAAGACAGGAGACCCTCACTGGGAAGAGCCCCACACAGCCCCTAGACGTGGCCCCGGGTTGTGGGGGCAAGGAATATTTGGGTCTTGGGTGCTAGAGCCTGGGTACCTTGGTGCTAAGGACTCCCTGCCCTATGAAGGGCCCAGCTGGAGGGGGACCAGATCAGAGCACTCTTTAAATGCCAGGCCCAGGGTGGGGATCCCACTGCTTTGGTCTAGGGGCTGTGCTTGTTGAGGATAAGTAAGAAAGAAAAAGCCGTTATCCATAGGCCAGGGCATGGTCTATAAGGACTGTGGTAGAGGGTGGAAGAGAGGGAAATGGAGGGACAAATTGTGAAGGATGTCACCAAGTCATCAATAATGGACATCTGTCTTCTTTTTTTTTTTCTTTTTTTGAGATGGAGTCTTGCTCTGTCGCCCAGGCTGGAGTGCAGTGGCGCGATCTCAGCTCACCGCAACCTCCACCTCCTAGGTTCCAACGATTCACCTGCCTCAGTCTCCCGACTAGCTGGGATTACAGGCTGGGATTACAGGCGTGCACCACCATGACCCACTAATTTTTGTATTTTTAGTAGAGACGGGGTTTCACCATGTTGCCCATTCTGGTCTCGAACTCCTGACCTCGTGATCCTCCCACCTAGGACTCCCAAAGTGCTGGGATTACAGGCGTGAGCCACTGAGCCTGGCCAGTAGTGGACATCTTAAGTTTTAGCCTGCACTGCATCCGTACCGTTTCCTGGAAACAGTGCCCCAAATTTCTTTTTGGGGAGCTACCTCTTTTCCGGATTTTCAGGACAGTTGGTTGCGCAAAGCTGACTCCACCCACTTCCCGCTATAGGAGACAGGAGACTCAACCCTGGTTGGTCAGAAGACGCCAAACTTTCCCCCTCCGCCTCCCCACAAAGATCCTGTAAGTTCCTGAAATCAGTTGCACGGCCCCATTCTTCCTTTCAGTTGATACTTTAGAGCGATGTACATCTTTTAAACGCCGTGGAGAGAGAAAGTGAGAGTCGTGTGTGCGCGCGTTTGGGAAGGTGTTGGGGGGGTTCTCATGGTCCGGGGACCCCTGGAGTATCTCACCCAGTCACTAGAGCAGGGGCTTCCCAACCGCCCGGCCGCGGACCCGTGCCCACGCCTTGGAGGAACCAGTGAGCGAGCAGGAGGCGAGCGAGCATTACGGCCTGAGCTCTGCCTCCCGTCAGATCAGGGCGGCAGTAGAGTCTCATAGGAGCGCGAACCCGGTGTGAACTGCGCGTGCTTGGGAGCTGGGCTGCGCGCTTCTTAGGAGAATCTAACGCCTGATGATCTGAGGTGAAGCAGCCTCATCCCAAACCACTTCTCTTCCCTCAGTCCCTGCAAAAACCGTCTTCCAGGAAACCCGTCCCCCAGTGCCAAAAGGTTAGGGACTGCTGCCCCATTGGCCTTTCCCAACCACTCGTGTCCCTGCAGGTTCGGGCCAGACATCCCCCATCCATGAGGTCAACCATGACATGAATGATAGGTCTCATGACATTTAATTTTAAACACTTAAAGTTAGAACTTTTTTCTTTTGTAGTCTGTTCTCACACATTTCCATATGCCTTCGCAGATCTCCCGGGCTCCAGGCCCTGCGGCCATCACGCCCGACACAGAAACAGCCAGCGCCAGCGGGTGACCCGGCTGCCCGCGCCCTCGTGCAGGCGGGCGGGAGCGGACAGGCCCTCGCACGCATGCGCGCGGGGCGGGGCTGCGCCTTAAGCCTGTGCGTTGCCGCTAGACCAGCCGGGGGCGGGGCGGCGGCGGACGCGCGCCTCAGGCGGCAGCCGCGCGAGAGGGACTTTGTGTTCCTCTGACCCTCGTGGGGGCGCTTCCTCCCGTGCCGCCCTTCCCCTCCCGCGCCGCGTCCTTGCGAGGCGCCTCCCATTCGGCGGGACCGACCGGGGGGATGGAGGGGGCACGCTCCTACAGCCCTCCCGGGACCCTGAAGAGACGCCCGCGTGCGACCTGAGACGCCGCCCTCGCCCAGGGCCCATGGGCGCGTCCCCACGGGCGGGCAGCGGACGTCAGGGCGGCGAGCGGCGGGGCCGTAGCGTCCGGAAGGGCCGCGCTCGGGCTCGGCCCCGCGCAGGCCGCGCGCGCGCGCTCCCGCCGCAGCCCGGGCCGCGCCCGCCCCGCCTCTCCGCGCCGGCCCCGGAGCCCGGTCCGCGAGCGGCGGCGGCGGCCGGAGGGATGATGAGCTGCGCGGGGCGGGCGGGCCCTGCCCGGCTCGCCGCGCTCGCCCTGCTGACCTGCAGCCTGTGGCCGGCGCGGGCAGACAACGCGAGCCAGGAGTACTACACGGCGCTCATCAACGTGACGGTGCAGGAGCCCGGCCGCGGCGCCCCGCTCACGTTCCGCATCGACCGCGGGCGCTACGGGCTGGACTCCCCCAAGGCCGAGGTCCGCGGCCAGGTGCTGGCGCCGCTGCCCCTCCACGGAGGTGAGTCCGGCCCGGGGACGGCGGGCGGTGGTCGCTGCATCCAGCGGAGGCGGCAGGGCTACGGTTCCCGGCCCCGGCTCTGGCCCTGGCTCTCCCGCTGCGCGCTGCCGGGCCGACGGCCCCAGCCGGGGTCGAGGCTTCCGTCGTGGACAGCCCGGCCTGCTCCCGTGGGAACCAGGCTTCAGGAGCGTGATTGGGTTTTCCCCTTCTTTGAAAAAAGACTTGGAACGGTCGTCTTTGCGTTCAGCAGCTTGTTTGCTGGAGGGCATTGAGCTAGGAGTTTGCAGGGACAGCGTAGACAAAGGAGGTGGTGCAAGAGCGCAAAACTAATTCATGGGGAGGACATCTCAGCCTGTATTTTGGAAGCGGCAGGTTTGTTCCTGAAATCACGGACTTAACGCTGCGCTGGATCCCGAAGGATGTGGCCCTTTTCTAACATAAAAACGTGCCGTTAAGTGGTAAATGGAGGGGGGGAGGGTGTAAAGGGAAAATCGACATCTTCCCTGTTGCTTTTGGCTCCTGTTCTTGCCCTAGTAGTTTTACTGTAATTTGACGCCTAAAAATGTCACATTATGAGGATTTGATACTAATCAGAACTACTAGCCAAGGCTTTTCAGGTCACGGGTGCCGACCAAAAGGGAAATAGGTAAAATTTTCAAGAATTGTCTTTGAAACCATTTGGCTTAATGTCATGTTTTCCTATAAACATGGGCTTTGTTTAGTTAATTATTTAGTGTAAACATGTATTTGTTTAAATTATTAGTCATGGTTTGAAGGAAACGTTTTGCACATCGCGGAATATGATTTTTTGGGTTTTGGCCCACTTTGAACTTTTGGGAAATACCTGCTATTATCGCCACCCTCATTGTCACCCTGAGAACGCTGAGAGGGGATTTTTCTTTTCTAAACTGCTGTTCATGTTAGGATGACCTAAAGTAGGCAGCCTAAATCAAGTAATGGTTTGCTTTTACACTCTTAAGATATTAGCATATTATGCCCCTCTGAGGTCTGTATTTGTATGCCAAAGTGCCAGGCTGTTTTCTTCTTTGAGACAGGCGGGCTGGGGAAAAATAATCACATAAGGCTTTTACTGTAGCCTGTCCCCAACTCAGACTGGGCTTTTAAAAGTCCGTTTTACACCAGTAATCAGGTGCTTCAGGTGCATATCTCATCTCCACTGTGTTAAAAAATGGCAGTTAGGGTCCCAGCTTGGCCACAGAAACAACTTTTGTCTTGGGTTCATTCAGTAAATATTTGCGTTCCTGCTCTGTGCCAGTCACTGTGGTTGAGATGCACAGTGTGGCCAGACTCTGGCAACTAACAATGGTAGCCTCTTTTCTGGTGGGGAGAACCGTGAGGGTCACGTGGAAGGGTAGAAAGAGGAAGAGGGAGGCAAGCTGTTCTGGAGCAAGGGCTGGCCCTCTGCAGTGTTGTGAAATTTGTGGTTTGTCTTTGAGGCTTGGTTCCCTCAAGCACCCCAAATCCATGGTCTGAACTTCAGATCCTTGCCTCCACAGTGTTCATGTGCTTCAACTACTTGTTGCTTGCTGTCACCCCAAACCAAAGCCCCATCTTTGAGAAAGCTTGCTTTAGGTGTTTCTGTAGAAGGGTATTGGGAACCAGCTCATGTATTGAGGTGTGATGAAGGTTAGTCCTGTTCGCCTCTCAGTGGGGAGGCAGCACTGTAGGATGAAAGGTTCTGAGTCAGGCCTGTGCTCTACGTATATTGTGTGACACTGGAAAAGTAACTCTGCCTTTTAGCCTCAGTTTCCTCATCTGTAAAATGGAATGATGAAATGTACATCTCTTAAGGTTGTTGACAGGTTTAAATGGTTCCTTAATTCTGAAAGGAGGAGATTTGGTAACCTAAAGGAATCTCTCAGTTGGTGAGATTTTAGACACTGCAACAGAATGAACACATTTGGGCAGTGTGTGAAGACTGAGTGTGAAGTCAGTCCCCTTGAGGTTTAGTCTCCCTTTCCTTGATTCTCTAGGGGTCATTTTGTGTCCGTCCCACATGGGCCTGCTCCAGGTTTTCTCAGGGAGATGGGGTTGGGGGTGGGGGATCCTACAGGTGGTCTGAGTCTGGCTTTGTACCAAGGGTCTTCACACACATATGCCGTTTTTCAGTCCAGCAAATATTAATTGAAATCCTGTGTGCCAAGGCATTGGTGAAGGAGAGGCAACAGCAGTGAACAAAACAGATTTTAAAAAATCCGTCTCTATAAAGCGTAGCTTCTACTGGGGATCTTTATAAGTTAGTCTGCCTGTCAGTAGTTTCTAAACCTCTGGGTTTATATGAAATCTAAATCTGCTGTTGCAGCAGGAACGTAGGAATTTATTTTAGAAACAGAAGTGGTGATATGTGTCTGTTAAAATTATTCGTGTTTAAGAAAATGATTTAAAATTGGAATACTTGGATATTTTACATTATAATCTTGATTTAATGAGTTTCACAGTTTTTTAGTTTTAGAAAAAATAGTGCATCCTTATGACTTTGATGCTCTTATAATTTTGAATTGAGGAGAATTCTTGACATGTTTATTGAGGACTTACTATGTGTTGACACTAAGCAAAGCAATGTTCAGATTACACACAAAGTTATGAGACAGGTCCTGGTCCAAAAACAGCTGTGGCCAATTTACGTGAAATTCATGAAAATTTGTTTTGAGGGTGTTTGGTAGAAATGAACATAAAGACAAAAGAACTTTATAGTTTTCCTAGAGTTTAACATGATGGCTCATTTTAAAGCTGTGGATTGATTTATGAAACTAGAAACCTTTCTGTCTGCTTTGCAGTGCTACTATCACGTGTGAATTTCTGAATAAGATTTATTTGTCCTATCCCTTTAAAGAACAAATAGTCAATTTTTTTTTTCTTAGGCACTTTGGTATTTTAAAAGTATATTTTGGCAAGTGCTATACTTTATGTAGTATACTTTATGAGATACTTTATGAACAAGTATACTTTAAAAATATGTCTTTGCCATTAAGTGGAATGCATTGGTGGGTGTAGAATCATTTGCCTGGGGCTAACAAATTTTATATTTTAACTGGTAAAGAATTTGTATTTAGAAACGGAGTTTTGAAGGAACGTGTCGTGTATTTATGCACAGATCACCGTTGCTTCCTTATTACTTACTCAAATAGTAAGCTTAGAACTAGGAGCAAACTATTTAGTACCTCTGCAGAGCAGCCTAGCAGGGTCTGTTGTGGAGCAGACGTTGTAAATGTGCTTTCTGTGTGTGCACACTAACTTTTTGTTTGAGCCCGGAGTGGGGGTTGGGAGAGGAGAAAGCCTGTGTTGGTGATGTGATTATGTATGCAGATGTGCTGCTGGGCAAGAATTTAGTATCGGCCACTTCTTGCTTTGCATAGAAATTTTCAGGATTGGATGTTACACCCTTAGAGAATAATTTTACCAAATAATAAACCTTTTTTTGTTAACTTGCTTAGGGATGCAATAAAACTCAAAAAAGTGAATCTCAGGTTTTTATGTTTAAAATGTAATCCTATTAGATGACGCCTTTGATGGTTCCTTTAACAAATCTGAAATTGGTTTTTAGAAATTCTCATAAATAGTGGAGGAGATTGATGTGAAAACAAGATTTGGGTGAAAGGGGTCATGTAATGTTTGAATTCATAACAGCAAAGGCAGGGGCTATTGGACGCAGATTTCAAAATATTCAGAGAAAAAGGAGATATGATCATGGGAGCAGGGTCTCTGAATATTCAGAAAGAGAATTCAGAAAGAGCTGGAGGCTCTAAAAATCAAATTTTAACATAAATAGCCTGGCAAGAGAAAAATGGATATATATAATAAATTATATTTATGTTGAACTTTACAGCTTATGACATGTTTTTACATACTGTGTTTTTCCTTCACATTTGAATGATTATTTCCATTAGCCTATAAATGTTTGAGTATTTTTTAAAACCCACTTGATGTCTCCACCAAATCCCTATCTTGTTACCACCCCATTTCTCTCTTACAGTGAACCTCTAAACATTATCTACATTCACTGCCTCTGCTTTTTCCTCCTGCTGCTCTTCTCTTTGTGAAGGTCTTCTGTTGCCGTGCCAGCGGTTTTGATAAAGATGTGGCATGTATAACAGATGTATTTGATAGCAGGGTCAGAATTGCAAAGATCTTAATCTGTAGAATGATGAGCTATATAGCTTTAAAAAATTAATAGGAATAAAGACATAGATTTGGGTTTAAAAAAGTCACCTTCGTGGAGGGGAGCTGAAGGAGCTGAGGGTTAGCTGCCTGTCAGATGACAAAGCTTGTGAGCTCTCACTGACTTCACCCCACCTTGCCCCGTCTAATCTTGCGCTGCATTTGGGCCTCAAGACTAGATAATTTCTAAGATCCCTCCCACCTTGAACAAGGTGTGACTGTAAATTAGTAAGACATGTCTTTTATTTTATTTTAAGGACAGGGTCTTGCTCTGTTGCCCAGGCTGGAATGCAGTGGTGTGATCATAGCTCACTGTAGCCTCGACCTCGGGGAGTCAAGTGATGAGTCCTCCTGCCTCAGTCTCCCAGGTAGCTGAGACTACAGGTGCACACCATTATACCTGGCTATTTTTTTTTTTTTTTTTTTTAAAGACAGAATTTCGCTCTTGTTGCCCAGGCTGGAGTGCAATGGCGCAATCTCGGCTCACCGCAACCTTCGCCTCCCAGGTTCAAGCGATTTTCCTGCCTCAGCCTCCCTAGTAGCTGGGATTACAGGCATGTGCCACTACGCCCTAATAAGCCAAACCTTATCAGAGGGCTAATTTTTTGTATTTTTAGTGGAGACGGGGTTTTTCCATGTTGGTCAGGCTGGTCTCGAACTCCTGACCTCAGGTGATCCGCCCGATACCTGGCTAATTTTATAAATTTTTGGTAGAGACAGGGTCTCGCTGTATTGCCCAGGCTAAGACAAATCTTTTTAAACAAACTTTGCTAGACTATAGCCATTAGGGAGAGTGTTGTTCTTGTTAAACCAATCATATT